AATTCATTTGACCCAGTTTCACAGAATTTTTCATAGATTTTTGTACTTGCAAATCCTTAAACAGATGTCAATAAAATCTAGTAGTTAGAGGCCATATATTGTGGAGTGCAGTGCGTAAATATTTGGGCTTTGCAGTGTGGGTTCAAATCCATGCTCTTCTACTTTTTAGGTAAGTGACCTTGAGCAAGTGTCTTAATCTAATCTATAAAATAATAAGAGTACTTACATCCTATGCTTAAGTGGATAGAACAAGACGACGTATGTAAGGCATTTAACACAGTGCATATCACACACACAGAGGCTGCTGCGCAATAAATAGTAGTTCTATACTGTGACCCCCACTCAAAGCCTCTAGACAGTGAGAAAGAGCCATCTTGTAATTGGGAAAGGGGAAACCTCCCCGTCAGTAAAGAACTGGTTTTCCAGAAAGAAGTTCAGAGTACAAAGAAAGTGTAACTTATTTAAGCTACTTGCAGGCTCTAAGTCTCCAAGCTTTAAAAAACAAAAAAAAAATGCTTTAACTAAGCACATCCTGCGAAATGCAGATCTAGAAGGTAGACTGCCCTAGATAGAAATGATAGTGGAATAGACTGCAGCAGCAACAAAGCTGAAAATTCAATATGGGGGGATGAAAATGGAGGAGAGAAGCAGCTAGGAAGATAAATGTAGGGGGAGGAAGACGACTCGAAGTGACAACTATTTTTAATCCTTACTCACTGACAAGAACAGTTTAAATTCCAACTAGAATCTGCTATGAATACTGTTTTTCATTGTGGTTGTGTACCCATTTTTTTCATTTTTCAACAAACAAGGAATATTTTAAGAGGAACTGAGAACTCCTATCATCTGTACATACAATAAATATTCACTGAGCACCTACTATGTGCTAGACACTCTGCTAAGCGGTAAGTATTCTGTGGCAAAAACAAAACAACCATGATTCCTGAACTCATCTCACAAGGGACAACAGATAATAATCAAATAACTAAGTTATAGTTACTTTGGGAAGGGCCATGAAGGAACAGATCAGGTGGTCAGTAAAGTGCTTTCTAAAGAGGTACTGACTACTTATCATTCAGGTCTCAGGTACTCAAGAAAAGAGTAGGCAGAAGAACAGGCAGAGGAATCAACTTATTTTGAAATAATTCTGAATGGAAAAAGTTTGCTACATTCAAAGTAATACAAGATGAGTGTGGACAGAAAATAGCGGAGCAAAGAGAGCAGCCAGAAATGGGACTGGAGAGGTAAGTGAGGACAAGATGATGAGGTCATGTTAAGGGGACTGGATTTTACTAAGAATCAACCTGAGTTTTGAGAAAACAGCTATAGGTATTTTTTAAAAAAGACCACTCCACTGAGTACTGCCTAGGTGAGGACAAAAGTGAAAAGGGGGCTGAGGCCAGCGCTGGGGCATAGTAGTTAAGTTTGCATGCTCTGCTTTGGTGGCCCTGGGTTTGCGTGTTCAGAGCCCAGGTGCAGACCTGCACATCGCTTGTCAAGCCACACTGTGGTGGCATCCCACATACAAAAAATAGAGGAGGACTGGCACAAATGTTAGCTCAGGGCCAATCTTCCTCACACACACAAAAAAAAGGTGAAAAGGGGGAACCAATAAGGAAGCTATTAAAATAGTGCAGGAGATGGTATAATGGGACAGGAGAAGGAGACAAGAAATAGGCTCTATCACCTTCCTAACCAACAAATGATACCACCACTTACTTTCTACTCACTGTAGTACTTAGTTACATATCAGTTGTTTCAAAGACAATTCTATGATACGGTCACTTCAAAGCTATTAAATTAGTATTAAATCTCAAAATATTGAGTCATTTTGTCCTCCCAATAAATATCCAGCAAAGTTTATAATAAAATGTAAACTTGGAAAGGTAAAACCACGGGGAAAAAAATACTTTGGTCTTTTCACAAATTTAAATCATCATTTTTATCCTGTATGTATCTTATCTGGCCTTATTTTGTAAACAGGGAAATAAAACTGAACAATTCATAAAACTATCCCTCCTTTTACGTATGTAACTGTAAAAGCCTTTAATGGGAGATAAAAATTAGAAAATGAAAGAAAAACCAAACAAAATTTCCCACTGGGTACAGCAAATGATGATGATTACCTGTAAACATCTTTTCCCTGGGGTTAAGAATGCACTGCACTGGCAGTTTGGCAGGGTTCCCAATATCATATAATCCCTCTTCACTGGACATTCATTAAAAAAGCATTTATTGAGTGCCAACTATGCACAAGTTACTTCTGCATAAGGTTTCTTTCTCCGTTAAGCAGAGAATAAAGTGGTGGTTGCAATATTCTCCTTAATTATGAGCATCCAGTAGAAGGAAGAAACCCAAAGCTTCCAAGATTCATCAATACATTCTCTCCTGCCATGCCACAGCAGCAATGGCGGAAAGCGGGAGAGGCAGGAAGTGATCTGCACCTAGTAGAAACAGCTAATGTGACAAGAAGGAAAGACCCCACACATTCCTATACAATGCATACTTGCAGACAAAACAGGAGCAATGGAACTGAGTCTTTCAGTATACTAATGATAAAGGCTGACAACCACCTTGAGAGCTGACAAGCTAACAACAACGTTCAGTACAAAGGACAGTACTTCCCTTGCTGCAGTTCTAAGTTTTACCCTCCATCATTTAGCAACTCTTGGCGAACTTCTCTTGCTCAATTTCCTCACTTACTCCGATAAGCAGAGCAACTCAAATGAATCTCCAGTGAGGTAAACCAGTGTCTATTTCCCACCCTCACTGAGAAATAGATGCTTTGTCCATTCACACTTCAGAAATTAATGACAAACTAACAATCCTAGTGAGAACTGAAAAACAGTTCTTTCCCTGTGTGTTACTGGATTTATCAACAGCTTTTTGGCAATGAAACAGCTGAAGAGTAAGACAAGGCCTGAATACCGTGATTAGTCAAATAAGATCAATCAAAAACACTGGGGGGGAGTCTAAAAAAATATAATTAACAACAAACTAAATGTTCAATTTGTGCTCAGTTACCTTCCTATCGTTTATAAAAAGTTTCAGTTAGCAATTACTTGTTTATCCAGTACTGACCATAAGCCAACACTGTCCATCAAGGCAAGTGGTAATAAAAATTCACAGGCATAACTTCCAGGCAGCTATCAACCTGATGAGCCAGTCATTCATTACTGAGTAACTGTGCTAACTGCATTCTAAGAAGCAATGGTCTCTCTGATAATTTCTGATTTTAGGAAAAACTCACATAAGGACACAGAACGCTATGAAAGCTTATGGGTTTGCTCCCATGCTCACTCTGAATCCTTTACAGCAGTGGTTCTTTCAGAATAAACCTTCTATGACCCTGCTGAAAACTAGACCCTCTCCCCATAAAAATGCACACGTGCATACAAAATGTAGCAAACAATTTCAAGGGTTAGGAAAAAATAAAATTCCTTGATGCTTATCCAGCAACTTTAGGTCAGGAACTCCTGTTATCAGCAGTAGCGCCTCCTTCAGAGCAAAGTTAAGAATAAAGTTGTTAACAGAACCGTTCATGAGCAGCTGAGAGAAAAAGCAGCTGGCGGAAAACGCAAGGTAAAGATACCAACAGCAAAAGTGAGAGATGAGAGTCACAGCCATACGGTAATCTTATTATAGCAGCACATCTGACACATTATTTACTGGGCATTATTATGAACTAGGTAGACAGCTAAGAGATGTGATAGTGACCAAACTCAGGTGTAGCTAACGTAGTTCCCGTTCTCAGGTGGCTTATAAGGGCCAGGGGAAAGACAATCAATCACCCTTGGAAATAATTACAAACAGACATATTACCGGAACGGAGGAAATACACTTTATGAGTGACTACAACAAAAGAAGCTGGCTTAGAATGAAGGTTCACAAAGGCTTCCCTAAAGTAAGACTGAAGCGAAACCTATGCAGTAACTAAGTTCTCTATGCAGACATAGGGGTGGGGATAACCTTTACTCAAAACTTCCAGCTGGGGGGAACCAGAAGCAATGATCCTGTGGTGGGGGCAGTGCGGAGATTAGGAAGTTGCACTAGGAAATTAGCAAGATGTTCCCTTACTAACAGCTTTCTTCTTAGCCTGTTACTTAATCTGCTGATAAAAACAGTAGCATGTTCCGGGTGGTTGGGACAATTACATTGGAGAGTATATGTAAGGCCTTAGTATACAGTAAGTGCTCACTAAGTGTAGTGATGATGAAAGCTATAGAGTAGCTAACAGAACCTGTGTTCTAGTAAAACTGCCTACTCAACACTGCAAGAAATGCTAGCAGTTTCTACAGTCAGCAATCATAAATTTCCAACGCAAAATACAAGCAACTTAAACATTTCAATAATTGCTTGCTCTTCATTTTTACTCATATACACGTGCTACAAAGAGGTATATTTAGGTTTAGCACAAATACCTATCGCTGCCTAAGGACTACAATACACTTTACCATTGAGGTTATTTTTTTAAAAAAAACCAACAGCTTACTGATGAATTTGAGGAAATACTTAAGTGAAACAAAGTTGTTACAATATAATTACCATGCTTTTTGAATAGAATGCTACTTAAAATTGACTCTTCATTGAGTTCAATGTGGTTTAACATTTATTAGTTAACTAAAAGACAAACAGCTATTGAAAAACCATTCTTTATAAAATTGAAGAACCTTCCAAAATAGTTTCAAATTTAGCCTTACTTAACAAGCTGAGGTATAATTCAAAAAGAAAATCTTTACATTTTCACTTTGCCTCTAGGCTAAGCACTATATGAATCCACAGTGACGTAGAATCCATCTTTTATGTAAAAGTCTGTTAATATTCAAGGAAATATACCCTTTTCAGATATGTGCTCTCTCAGTTACAGTACCTTTGAGTACTGAGCACATCTTTCCTCAACTTAAATATCTGCAATACCTCTCTTGGCCTGAGATTACTCAAGACATAAGAACTGAGAGAAGACACTTAATAACTCTTGTACTACAAAAATGCAACATTACCTGGAAAACTAGTTTTCATTATATCAATTCCAACTTGTAGCTCAGGTTCAGCAGCAAGTACAGCATAGTCCCCTTGATGAGAGATGTTAAAGTTAAAATTGGGGTAAGGATTCAAGGAGTCTTTCGCAAGAACTGGTTTTCCTTTTGCAGTTCTCTGCAAACGAATATTATTCCAAGGGATATTCAATTTCTCTGCAACTAATTTCCTTATCATCAGTCGACCAGCCTGTTAAGTAAATAAAACATTTAGTATGTAGTGATGTCAACTAAAGATTTAGGTACACGGCCTGTAACATACAAAATCTATTTTTGTGGTTCGAAAAATATTCATTTTTAAAAGTTTTTAAAAGTACTTAAGCATTAAATACACCACATTAAGATTTAAGCAATGCTTAAGATAGAAGAAACTTTAACAAGTCCCTCCTTAGCAATTCCCTCCCTTCAATAGGTAACCAATGTTAAGTAGAGATCCTTCAGTCTTTTCTCTAGGTATCTAAATATACGTTCATTTGCACATGCTTTTGCTATCTATCTACATATATGAGATCCTACTATATATAGTATTCTACCATATATAATCTTTTTAACTTCCAAGTGTTGGGGATTTCACATCTGTACATAATGGTCTGGGATGCGCATTTTTCTCTGTAGCAAAATAGTTCATAGTTTCAAGGCACCACAACTTGATTGCCCATTCCCTTATTATTGGACATTTTAGGCCGGCTCTAGTTTGCTATTACGTATATCTTTGTGCACCTGTGTGCGTATTTCTAGTTCCTATATACCCACCACTCAGCCTCAACAATCAGTACTGCATGATCTATCTTTTTTCACATATACCCCATACCCCATCCACTCTCCCCCACCTCCATTAATTATTAAGAAAGAAATTACTAAAATCACACAAATACCCAAGGGTATAAGGTCACAAACTATATAATATTTTGTAAAATACCTTTCAAGTTTTTTTCCTTCGAGTCTAACAATGAGTTTTAAAACTGCAAGAATTTCAACTTCACAATTTCTTTTATACCATAAAAAGCATAAAAAATTTTCACCAATATGCTTTCAAGAAATTATCAACTAGCCCACATTTCAAACGAAAAGGTGTTTCGACATAGGAACATTTTCAAGAAATGACTCTCTTTGAAGTGATGGTAATCAGAGGCTGTTTGAAACTGCAATATATAGTAAACAGTTTTGCAATCCAATTTTCCATCTGTTGCCTACAAAACACAGAACTAAAATAATTCTATTTAAAACAGTGTTTTCCCGAGCTATCGAACCAGGAAAGCATGCCTGGGCCGCCTCCTCCCTGGGCTTCAGTTCCATTGGTAAAAGCAGGCTGGTCTAGGCGTCTTCCAGTTCCATGGTGTACAAGGCTAAACTAAGTCATATTACCAATATTTTTTAGAGATCACGGCGTGCAGGGTGCCCTTCGAGAGGGGTGGGATATTTAATAGGCAGACTAAGCACATGCTATGGGCTCAGGCAAAGAAAAAACGAAAATTCCATAACCCTTAAAAATAAAAACTCTCACTATGGAGAAAACACGTTACTTCATAGGCCTTCCTTACACCGATTTTATGGTTTAGCGGGGTCTCTATTTGCAACCACAACGGGGGAGGGGCTCATTTCTACAGCGATCGACGCCGCCGAGGCGACTACAAAGACCGTCGAGACCAGGCCGAGCGCACACGACGGCGACTCGGCGGTGCTGACCACGCTCACCCCGGGCCCAGGCCGGCCACAAGTGGGCTGGAGGGCGGGCGTCGACGCCGGGACGGAAAGGGGTCTCCAAGCCGGCCCCCTCCCCCAACACTTGCTTCCTCGGCTCTGAATACCAAAGACCTGTAGTACCATGGCTGCCTTAGCGTCCCGGGCGAAGACGAACTGGCCGATGCGCTCCTTCTCCTCGGGCTGGATCGATCGCACCGCCAGCAGCCATTCGGCTCGGCTCGGCAGCCAAGTGCCGCAGGAAAAGGCCCAGCGCACGCCCTCCATCGCTGGCACCAAGCAGACCCGCTTGGCAGGGAAAACCATACACTGAAAACAGCCCTCGCCGCCTCCCCAGGCCTGATGGCGCCGACGCTCACGTGGCCCCACCCCTTTCTTCCCGGCGTCTGTGCGAAAGGGGCGGGGCGTCGCGCTACGTCCCCGGGCGCTCTGCCCTCCGAGAGCCTTCACTTTCCCCTGGCAACCCCGTAGCGCTCTCCAGGAGAAAGCGGCTGGGGGCGGAGACGGAGCCCCGCCTCTGCGCTCTGCGGCAGCGTGAGTCGTCACGTGGGGCGGGGCTTCGGAGGGAGCGAAGGGTGGGACCAAGGCCGAGAGCCGGAGAGTTACGCCAGTCACACTTGGAGGAGCGCTAACGGGACAGCGGTGCAGGCCAATCGCAGTCAGTCCTCTGGAGGCCGAGAGACTGGGGTGGAGATTCGGAGACTGCAGTTGCAGGTGGGTGAGCTCTGGGGTCTGGAGGAGTGGGATAGTAGCACCTTATTCCTGGGGGCCCAGGTCGGCCCCCATGACCCACACGGGAGAAAATTCCCTTGGCTTCAGGTCCCTCTGCCGCTCCTTCTTGTTCACGGGCGGGACAGGATCCGCGGCTGGGAGGGGACTGCATGATGCCCCCTGGAGTTGTGCTGTACGGTGGCCCTGAGTTGCCTTCCTCCCTCCTCTCCCAGCTCCTTCTGCCGAAGCCCCCCTCAACCCAGGACGCTCCCCATCCCTAACAGCTGCCCACCCTGAAACTTGCCTCCGAGGGCCTGGCCAAGAGACTGCCTCCAGTGCGGGTGCGGGCCCCGCCTGAATCCGAGGCTGGCAGCCAGCAGCTGGGCTAATGCTGCTGATCCTTTACTGCGGCCGTCAAGTGACCCAGGTGCTGTGTTGCTGTTGCCAAGTCTATTGCAGTTTTAGGAAGAGGGTTCTGTTGTGGAGGCACCAGTGTTTCCATCATATCAGAGGTCCTTGCTGTAAAAGCAGCAGAACCAAGTAAATAACTTCAGCAGCCCTTCAGAGTTACTCTGTGCCTTTGCTCATTTATCTTAGACTTTATCAAGGGCCGTCCTGAGTCTCTGTTTCCACAGTTCTACCTAGACGGTGGGTGACTCTTCTGTGAAAGCCCTTATCAAGGGCCGTCCTGAGTCTCTGTTTCCACAGTTCTACCTAGACGGTGGGTGACTCTTCTGTGAAAGCCCTCGTGATCAAAGCCCATTGCGGGTTTTGGCCCAGGGCAAAGTTGGTCTCTGCAGATGAATGTGAATTCCTAACTTTGTGGTAGATTAAATGCTTTGGCTGTCAGGAAATGTCAACTAAGGCCAACACAGTTTACCTGGGGATTATTTCCATCCCCTTTAAAATGGGTTCTATTCTGTTTTTATCTATACTTGTTTCCATTAGCTTTTCATGATATCATGAGCCCCCTCCAGTCCTTTGCAAGTAGATGAGATTTTGAACACACAAATTCTCAAAGTGCTGTGAAATGAATCACTGTCTTCATATATCTACTTAGCTAATACTCACTAAAACCCTGCGTCAGCTGCCATATTTAAGATCTGCTTATGACCTGCAGAGAGCTTACAATCTAGCAAGGCAGATAAAACGTGCAAAAAAGCTGCTAGAGAAAATGTAAAGATGTGTAAGGTATAAGGTATCTATTAATGCCCATGTCAGTAATGATCATAACTCGTTCTCCACTTTTAATTTTATATATCTAGGCATCATATTATAACTTTTCCATTCTTGTCTTTTTGAACTGTTTTTTTAGAGTTTCAGTATATTATTTTTCTGTTTCTGAAAAACTTCTGTGTACATTAGCTCGTGTTCTTCTGTGCAATAATTATTACTGGTGGAGAAACTGAGATCAGAAACAGAATTTGTGGAATTATTTAAATTCGGGTTTAGGAATTCTTAGTCCGTTCTTTTACAATTGAGCTAAGCTCTGTGTATTCAATCTATAGAGCCTAGTATACAGTCAGGTAACGTAGTGGTTAATTGTACTTGTTCTCTCTGCCTAGAATGTTCTCTTCTCCCGTCATCACTTTCCTTGTTCCTCTGTGTCATTCAGGTCTCAGCTCAAATGTCATACCAAAGAGAATTTCTCTGCACAACCAACCTAAAAGCTCACTTTCGTCACTCCCTACTCCCAACCCCGAGCCTAGTACCCTAGTGGGCACTCTTTATAGGTTTGTTTAAGCCCCTTTCCTATCTTTTTTTAAATTCTTACTTGTCATTCAAGGCTTAGCTCAAACCTTACCTTTTCTTAAGGACTATCGCAGAGTACTTTAAAAAAAATATATGTCGTCTGTGTAATTCATTTGGCATTTACTTGAGGGGGAATTTCGCATATACCTTACCTTTTACAAATAGTATACATCAGTAAATGTTTTACAGTAGAGTTTACTCTTTTCACAAGTTAACACTGATATTTATATTCTGTCTACCTTTACTCCTCACTTTTTCCTTAAGGAAATATGAAGTATGCAGTTAATAACTTGCCTAACTATATTCAATAAACCCCCAAATTTTATTATGGTATTTTTTATTGCATTGGTCAGGGGAGAAAGAAGACTAAAATGGTAGAGGCTCAGCAAATTTGAGCAATAATCGTCTTGCCAGTTCCTGTTCTATGGCTTCTTAGTAGGATTCTGAGAGACCCGTGTTCTATTTGGAGTTCTACCTCCGATTATCTGTGTGATTTTGGGTCAATCACGTAACCTCTCCTAGGTACCAGTTTCAATGCAAAGGCACCAAATGAGAGCATCTCTAAGGTTTGGTGATTTTTTTTTAGGTAATGTTCATTAGCTTTTTATTGGGTCACAACTTAGACTTGATCCCATTGCAAAATTTCCTTTCCAAGACTTTAGTAAATAACTCTATAATTCTACCAATTACCCAAAGAAGAAATCTTGATTCCCCTTTTCTGTCAATTCTTTAATCTATTCCAAAGTTCTATTGGTTCTACTTCTAAAATAGAGCAAAAAATCCACCTATTTCTCTCTGTCTGCCTTGTTAATACTCTAGTTGAAATCACCATCATTTCTCACCTGAAATACTGATTACTTTTCTAGCCTCACGAGAAGGGGAACATTCTCTTCCTGTGCCTGCCCTCCATGCTGTGAGCATTCCTGAATCAACCTGTCTTCAGAGCTAAGTCTAGAAGTCCATGCCTTTAATCACATGCAGTATTGCTTCCTAGTTAGACTGAGAAGGAGAGGCGAGCAAAATAGGAAACCTGAAGAGTGTTGTGGCACAGAAAAGAAGGGGGACCTAGTTGATTGTGTGAATTACTCCTGAGAGATTAAATAAGACGAGGAGAGAGAAGTTAGCATTTGACTGCAAGACTAGGTAGTGTGGTGACATTGACATGAGCAGTTTTAGGAGGGTAAAAGAGAGGAACTTGATTGTAGTGGGTTGAGATGATAACTGGAGGTGAAGCTACTCTAGACGGTTTTTTAAAGAAGTTTTTCTGGGTTAGGGAGTAGAAAAGTGGGATGGTAGCTGGAGGGGAATAAAAGGTCAAAGGATAGATTTTCGTTTCTTCAAATATGGGAGATATTAGGTTTGTATGCAGTGTCCAGTAGAGTGGGAGAAATTGTTGCTGTACGAAAGAGGGTGGTTTTGTGTGTGTAGTCACCACTCTGAAATGTCCTCCAGAATGGAGGAGCTTGTTTGTCTTGTTTTTGGCTCTACGCCCAGTATCTAGAGTAGTTCCTACCACGATAATAGCTACTCCATTAATTTTATTTGGTGAATTAATGAAAGACTTAGACTCTATTTCTCTTACCTTCTTTCAATTCATTCTTCACACATCAGTCAGAAAGATATTTTAAAAAAATCAGATCACATCACTGTCCAGTTTAAAGTCTTCAGTGGTTCCTATTGCACTTAGAATAGCATTCCAGCTCCTGTGGCCCAGAGGATCCTGCATGAGGCAGCACTGGCCTTCTGCGGCCCGATCTCCTGACACTCTTTTTAACTATGCTCCAGTGATGCTGACTTTCTTTCATTTCCTAAAACTGAAGGACCCTCCTCTCCCACTTGAGGGCTTTATACATGATTTCTCCCACCAACCTCTTACCTTCTTACATTCAGGTGTCAACGTAACTGACACCTTCTCAGAAAGGCCCCTATTACTGTAGGGGACGAGAGCAGAGGCTCTGAAGCCAGACTGTCTGAGTTTACATCCCAGCTCCCTGCTTACTTGCTATGTGACTTTGGGCAAATTGGTTAAATTCTTGAAGCCTCTTTTTCCCTTTCTATAAAATGGAAACAATAATAGTATCTATTTTATACAGTTGTTCTGAGGATTAAAAGTACTTAAAGCATGGAGTACAGAATCTGGCACATAGGAAGCACCGTATAAGTATTCACTGTTACCATTGTTATTATCTGTGGTTGGATGCTCCCCGTCTTCATTTTTATTTCCATTTCCCAGTTGTTTCTTCACAGTATTTCTAACGACTTATAATTTGTTAGTCTTCCTCACTAAATACTAAACACCAAGACAGCAGGGCTCATTTCTGTCTTTATTCTCTATGCTCTCTAGTGCCTAATTCAGTACCTGGCATAGAGTTAGCACTCTATAATAAATATTGAGTAGAATAGACCAGAAATGATACCCTATATTGAAATATCAGTGACCAAACTGATATCACGGGAAGACCTGATGAAATCAAAGCCCAGATCAGTGAGAGTAGGGCTTTAGTTTAATATTCCATTTCTATAAAGGGGTGTATGCTTTTTTGTCATTACTTTATATCAAAGACTTGGTTCTTAGGCTTGATTCTTGTACTTTTATTGATTTAATTATTTAAGTCAAATTTTAGTGAAAGACATTAAAAGAAAGAACAAGAGAACAGTTTTGAAAATCAATTCACTATTTTGAGCAAGAAGGTGTTTCATTGAAGCTGAGATACAGTCTTATAAAATACACCATTGTTTTATATGTTACTGAGAAAGAAAACAATGCCATTTTTAACTATGATACGACTCTTTATCACTTGGATTTTTCCATACTTATGGAAAGCCCATTTTAAAAAGAATCGTATCACCCTTGAACACACATAAAAAGAAAAATATAAGCAAAATTAATTAGCTGAAGTTATTTTAAAACTTCTTCACATTCAGGATCTGACTGTTCTAATTCTCTTTCA